GCATCTATGTTTCTGCTTTACGAATATGATATTTTTTGGGCATTTCTAATAATATCAAGTCTTATTCCTATTTTGGTATTTTTCATTTCGGGAGTTTTAGCTCCGATTAGCAAAGGACCGGAKAAACTTTCTAGTTATGAATCGGGTATAGAACCAATAGGCGACGCTTGGTTACAATTTAGAATCCGCTATTATATGTTTGCTCTAGTTTTTGTTGTTTTTGATGTTGAAACGGTTTTTCTTTATCCATGGGCAATGAGTTCCGATGTATTAGGTGTATCCGTATTTGTAGAAGCTTTAATTTTCGTGCTTATCTTAATTGTTGGTTTAGTTTATGCATGGCGAAAGGGGGCATTCGGTCTTAGCTCCCGAATATTCAGACAATAAAAAGAAAAAGGAAAAAATTGAGATAGTTATGAATTCCATTGAGTTTCCCTTATTTGATCGAACAACCCAAAATTCAGTTATTTCAACTACATTAAATGATCTTTAAATTGGTCAAGACTCTCAAGTTTATGGCCGCTTCTCTATGGTACCAGTTGTTGCTTCATTGAATTTGCTTCACTAATAGGCTCACGATTCGACTTTGATCGTTATGGACTAGTACCAAGATCGAGTCCTAAAATTTTATAAAAAAACTTGAAAAAATATATGAATATTAGAATCAAATTAAATATTTAAAAGTTCTCGTTTTTTATGTAATTTTTTAATTCGATTTTTACCATAATTAATAATGAAGTAATTTATTTTCAGTTTAATAATATAATTTTTTTTTATGAAGATACTAATTAAATATTATCTTAAATGTTAATGATTATCTTAATTATATTTTAGATTTTTTTTATTTTAAAATGAGATGTTTATCCTATTTTTGATTATGTTTATCTGCAGTTAGTTACACAAATTCAAAATGAAGCTTTAATTAGTTGTACTTACGCACAATTTACTTGTAACTTTGAATTTTAAATAACATACATCAATAAACAATATTTTATGCATAAAAATTGGTTTTTAAGAGTTTTTTGTCAACTGCTTTATAATATAGTATAGATTAATCTAATTCATTAAATATTTGCGATAAAACCAAATATAGTTTATTACAAAATACATTATTGAAAAACTTTGATCAAAATGACACAAATATAGAACACCTGGAAATTTTGATCTTCTAGAAATATGATGTGGGCTCTATGAACAAATTAAATGAACGGTTCTTATTAAATATTTTAAATAGATAATGATGGATTATAATGCAGCTGATGAAAAAGTTATAAATAGATGTTTATATTAAAAAAAAATATTTGTAAAAATAGAATATTGTTTAAAAGGTACATAAAAAAGCTAATGTAACAAAAGTATAAAGCTTTTAAAAAAGTTAAAGAATTATTTATATTATATTATAGAACATTCGACAAATATTTTTAAAAATCATTTTTTATGTATGAAGTACTGTTTATTGACGTATATTACTTAAAATTCAAGATTATAAGTAATTTTGCGTAAGCACAACTTATTAAAGCTCTATTTTTAAATTTGTATAACTAACTGCATATAAATATAATCAAATACATGATAAACATATATTTTAAATATAGAAAATCTAAAATATAATTAAGATAATCGTTAAGTTCTAACAGGATGTTTAATTATTATCTTTATAAAAATTATATGAGAAAAGTACAATAAAAACCAATAGACTTTCTTGTTTGGAATGATTAAGTCCTTAGACTTTTTTTTGGAACAAATAAGTCATTGGACATTTCAAAACATGTTAAATAAGTCATTGGACAATTTTTTGGAACAAATAAGTCATTGGACATTTCAAAACATGTTAAATAAGTCATTGGACAATTTTTTGGAACAAATAAGTTCTTGGACATTCCAAAATATGTTAAATAAATCCTTGGACAATTTTTGGAGCAAATAAGTCCTTGGACATTCCAAAAAATGTTAAATAACTCTTTGGACAATTTTTGGAACAAATAAGTTATTGAACAATCCAAAACATGTTAAATAACTTCTTAAACTTTTATAAAACATGTTGGATACATTCTTATGACCTGTACAACTAGTTAAAGTGGTAAAATAGTGAAAAAAATCCGGAAAAAAACCCAATGAACATTCATATTTTGAACGATTAAGCCCCTAAATATTTTTTGAACAAAAAAGCATTTAGATCTATAAAATTAAACAAATATAACAAAAAAGTACTTACATTTACAAAAAA